GGGGTATAAGGCATGTGAAGTGCTCAGCACAGAGCCTGACTCAGTGAGACCCTGGAAGGCTATTCCTGTTACTCTGGACTTCCTGTCCCACCTGGTCTCACAGGTGACCTCTTTCTCATTAATCAGGACCCAGCTCTCCTTCTGTGGGAGGGCTTTGAGGGCCAGGTCCTCTCCCTTCATGGGCCAGTGCCTTTCTCTCCAGCACATACTGCTGTCCACACACAGCACGTTTACTCTTCCTGGCCTGCCCTCCCCCACCAGACGGCAGGAGTGGTGCTGGGTTCATTTCCACAGATGGGGGGCTCAGTAAATTCTAGTGGGTGTGCTGCAGCAGGGCAGAGGGGTTGACAGTGGGCGCCCCAGCACAGTAGTGGAAATGTGTCTCTGGCCAGCTACTCTGCAGACATGTCCCCCCAAAACAGGGGACCCCATGGCTGGGTAGTAGAACATCGGGATTCAGCCATGGGCTGAATAGTTAGGTGACCTGGCAGCTTGGGTGCACACGGTGGTGCACTCACCGAGGTCTCGATAGATGACTCATGAATGCCCTTGTGGTCACAAGCTGATACAGGTTGAGGGAGGGAGGCTCGTCCAGCACATGCTTCCCTCCAGGAGGGGGCTGCGCTCGGGATCTAATGTTCTCCGTTCACTCAAGTACAGACTGATGGGACAATGAAGCAGCACCACAGGCTTACAGCCTGGTGACCACTGTTGCACTCTGTTCCCAGCATGAACCTGGGTGCAGGCTTGGGGACAGTCAAGCTGAGAGTATGACCTGGCAGCTCTGTCCCTGCCTCAGGCTGATAACATTGGGGCACATACAGCAGGTGACTGGGGGAGGAGGCTAGTCCCTCCTTACCCAGGTCCCTAGAGCATCCTGATATGGAGCCTGCAACACCTTTTGGGTTGGCTGTGCAGGGAGGCAAGTCCATGGGGAATGGGAATGCTGGCCAGCGGGGGAGTGCAGGTCAGCGTGGTGGCTGGCAGGAGGGGAGGTGGGTTTCACGAAGAATCCAGTGTGGGTAGAGGCTTGGCCCGCACATATTCCTATGCCCAAGGGAGTGTAACATTAAATAGCAAATAAAAAACACCATTCCTGAGAGACCACAGGAAAGGACAAATTTTATATTCTAGTAGCTTTATTTTTTATTTTATTTTTTATTTATTTTTATTTTTTTTGAGACAGAGCCTCAAGCTGTCCCCCTGGGTAGAGTGCCGTGGCATTACAGCTCACAGCAAACTCCAACTCTTGGGCTCAAGTGAGTCTCCTGCCTCCACCTCCCAAGTAGCTGGGACCACAGGCGCCCGCCACAACGCCCGGCTATTTTTTGGTTGCAGCCGTCATTGTTGTTTGG